TGGTCTGTCATTTGGCATTCATTGAGTACTACATGTTTGGGCAAATCGCCGCTTCGGGTGCCCATAAATATGGCACTGATTTTGGTCTCGTTCTTAAGCTTTTGCATTGATTTCTTAAAGTCGGGCTCAGAGTAAGTGATTAGGTTTAAGGCATATCTGCGAACTGACTGCTGGACAAAGTTCTCGAGCGATGGAAACGATTCGGGAATTGCGATATAAAATACATTCAATTTGTTATTCGGATATTTAGCGATAAAAACACTGTAAACGATATGCAATAACGCCGTACAGTCTTTGCCGCCATTGAATGCCACACAAATCTCATCCGCTTTATAATCATCGAAAGCTTTGCGAATCAATTCGTAGCTATTCTTCGCGTATTCATTATCCGAACAATACTTTGAAAGCGTGTCTAAACTGTGTTTGCAATTCGGAGCGAATCTATTGGTGACAGCGTTTGCCGGCAATAGAAAGCGAAAGACAGCTTCGGCTCGACTTTTGATCGATTCTGAACTCGAACTCAACGTTACTTCAAATGTATTATCACTTCCCGTCAAAGGAGTGATTTTCCACGTGATTGTCGGACATTCAGTGCTTGTCTTTTGTATTATTGAATGCAATGCTATTTCTTCGCAAATTATATCCAAAGAAGTGACAAAAGAATTCATTCTATAGGAAGACAATGAATGGCATAATTAGAGAACTTTCGCATCAAAAAGAGTTACTAATTATAGTAAATTGAAGATCAGGTGAAGAAATAGCATATCATTAAACGGCGGGATATTTAACATATCTTTAGTCTCATTGATATTTGTCAAGAGTTTGTCATCATTTCAAACAATTTACATCAAAATTATAATAAAGTCAACGAAACTTACGTTTAGTTAAGAGCCGAAGAGACAAATCAAACAAAAATCTGTTTAACAAATAAAACAAGTGATTAAGACATGAAATACGATAAAAATCATTAAAATAATTGGTTTAAAAATCAGGTGAAGAAAAATAATCACAAAACGGCGGGATATTTAACATATCTTACACTCATTTGTCCCTATCTTTGTTGTCATCATTTCATTAAACCAAATAAATAGTAATTTTAAAAATGACTCACTTTTTAAGCGAAATAAATTGCAACCAAAATAACGACAGATATCCTGAAAACCGAATAGAAAGCCATTAATTAATATTAATTAAAACAAAACAATAAAACTAATGGCTTATGAAATATCAGGTGAAGAAAAGTAATCACAAAACGGCGGGATATTTAACATATCAAACACAATCATTTGTCCCTATCTTTGTTTGTCATCATTTAATTCATAAAAACAATCAAACCATGGATTAAACTCTTACCTATAAATCGTGGATTCAGTCACACAAAGACATCAAATCAAATACTGAAAAGTGAAATCAAAAACCAAAACTTTATAACAATGTTTGCAAAGCAATAAAACATCAAAATTAAAGCAATGTTTCAGTTAATTAATGGAACGGTTTGTGTCTTTTCATGTGGTGTTCAACTGGCAAAATATATCATCACTTCTAATCATAATCAAGTGATTGGTTCAACAATAGCCTCCAAACTTACTTCTTATCACAAGTTCACTCATCTATAAAAATACCACAAAAATATAACAATTAAAACATCAATTAAAACACATTATAAACATTTAATCATTTGTTTAATTGTCAGCATTTATTATTGCCTTTCATATCATTAAATATCAATGAGATTCCCACTGAAGCAACCAAATCATCACACAATCAAACAAATGACAACTCTATGCATAAATACACACCTTATGAATGAACGGTATAAACGGATCCAATGGCTTGACTGCAAAGAAAAGTACAATTGAATAAACGGCACAAAACAAGTGAATCAAAAGTGTATAATTGATTGCAAACATTCAGATAGAGCTAATGAATAATCAGTGAAGTCAGAGATCTCGGTGGTAATCGAATCAAGTCTGTCATCATTTATGTTTTACATTGCATTCAATTATACAATAAATGGGCGATAATTACCTCTTTCTGGACACCACTCAACATAATCTCCTGTTTTTGGTACAAATAAAATACAGACAATTAATGGTTTGAATGGCAATTGTTTTAATATTAAAAAAAACATGTGATGGTCAGTAAGGCTGATACCATCACTCATGAGGTATTGGTTTAGATATTTGGGAAGTATTAGTTCATCATTAATCAAAATGAGATCAAAAATACCTTAAAAATCACCGGTTTTGGGCCAATAACTCGTGGAATCTGTTAAACAAAATACAGTAATCATTAGTACAATCCATGTATAGCTGGAAAATGATAAAATTGTGGTCAATGGATCAGTTAGGGGCGAAATAGTAGTAATCAAAGAAATCAGTTGAACTATAAAATCATCACTAATTGTTGCTATAATTTACGGCAATTTATTATAATAACCAATACTTACGAGTCATTTAAACCTCATTTTCTACACAAAATGGACATCAAATCGTTTTCAACACCTGTTTTAATACAAAAATACATTTCTATTATGAAAAATGTTTAAATTGTTAGAAAAAAAAGTGATCATTGAATGGATTCAGTGAACACGTGGTGTAAAGACTCATCATTGGGAGCCCTCAAGAGTAGCAAATAGTAGTCATCATTAGATGTATTAGTTTTGCATTACAATCAATGGCTAATAATAGCAATTAATTTACATATACTTACAAAATAGTGGTTCAAATGGATTACACGTCGAGAAAAACGTGGCATTTGTTTAACCATTTATTTCACGCTATTTTATGCCATTAATTGGACATAATTTTTATCTACAATTTATATTACTTTATAACTTATAATAAATTAATTATTGCTCATAAAATCATTTATAAATTGCAATTATAATCACATTTTTAACTGAATTAAAAGATATTGAAATAAGTTTCAACCGATTGTTAAGCGCTTTGAATGAAATGTGGATAAGAAATGATTTGAGAGAGACTTCCGTTCAAAAAGGCATTGCATTTGAAAAGACATGCTCTGAGAGACTCTCTCTCTCTCTCCACACATAGGATCCCTCTGTTGGCACACAATGTTGTCTCTATCGGCCAAACCCAGCCTTTTATACACAAACTTTTGTACGAACTTTAGGTTAGCATTGGTTTCCAAACCCGGCTTATAATCTAGTGTGACCAACTCGGTTTTGACCAATAGTGTACAAAATGATAAAATTGAGGCTAAAATAGTGTACATAAAATTTTTAACGAAATTCAAACGGTGTAAATAATGTGTAACTAATATAATGAGATTTGTATCAATTTGATATAAATAATGTGAAAATAATACAATGAGTTTTGTATCAATTTGATGTAAATAATGTGTAACTAATATAATGAGATTTGTATCAATTTGATATAAATAATGTGAAAATAATACAATGAGTTTTGTATCAATTTGATGTAAATAATGTGTAACTAATATAATGAGTTTTGTATTAATTGGACACTAATAATACAAAAATAAATATATTTTATATACGTTTAGTAAAAATAAATCCAGTTTATGGTTTTTATATATTTATAAGAATAATTTACAAATAGTGTACAATAGTGTACAGTCTGAAAATAGTGTACAGATGTCTCAAATAGTGTAATGTACTGCCTAATAGTGTACGGTTGGTCACACTAAGTATAGTATAGTATAGTCTGTATTAGATTTGAGGCGAAGAAAGAAAGAAATGTTTAGTGAACTCGAAATGATATTTCTGTGAATAAAGCAAAAATACCTCTCCCTCCCTCTCTCTCTCTCTCTCTCTCTCTAACTAAATCGAGAGAGAGAGAGAGAGAGATTTAAAGAGAAAATAATCTAAAAGTTATATATAAAAAAGAGATTTGAAAATGTTTGGTAAAATTGTGAACAAAGTTTGCAATAAATCATTGGATTTGAAGCGAAATAATAGTTTGCAGAGAAATACAGAGGAAAAGTATTTTGTTTTCTTATAGAAATTTGTTTGTAGTCTAAATTGAATGCTTTACTGCAATTGCTTCGACACTACAGTACAGTGTATAGTGAGAGACGACCAACAAATTGAATGAAAGGGAGAGTTGAATGATGTTTAAGAGCCCAGAGTTATGTGTCCAAAACACACCGGCATTTGTGAAGACATAGCCATTACTTTATCACTATTAGCTCTTTTATTGTCAGTTTTCACATCATTAGAGAAATAGTTTTTTAATAAATTGCTCTTTTTGTTGATTAGGCGATTAAATGATAACAATATCTATAAGATTCGCAATACGGGACTATTCAAGAAGTTGGGTCATCTCATCAAATTGTAAGTCATATAATACATATACAGCCCGAATATTATATCGCAATATAAAGCTAAAGGCAGGAGGATTAGTAGTGGATTAGTGCAGCATAAAACAATGCAATTTTTTTCGCACCTAGTTCACAAAAAGGGTTGCATTTGCCATCAATGTGCGAAGAAATGCACTGCTCTATGCTATGATAATTAACACTACTAATCCTCCTGCCTTTAGCTTTATATTGAGATATAATATTCGGAGTGTATACAGTATAGTGTGACGCAAATGTAGTCAATCCTATCACACATTTTGTTACCAAAATGCTATTCGTTTCAATGGTTTAGTGTCTACAGGAGTGGAGACACAACTGTATGCGCTTATATACACTCAATTCCGTAATTAAGTACCCACACGTTTTATATTAATACATGAAAACTATAATATTCGAAGTAAGTCCCTAAACTTTTCACTGTTGCTTAATTTAATTATTCAGTTATTAATAACATTTAAATATTTTTAAAAATAATATTCATAGATTGGATTTTTAGCTGATTTAGAATACGTACCAGAAAAAAACTTTTCTATCTGTAGCAATATCAGCATTATAACAACATTCTGTGATACATTACAAAAGAATTAATTTGATATGCTACACAACCCATTTGACCTTTAAACTTAACACAATTACGTAAAATCAAAAGTGGTTAAAAAGTAAATTGATTCCACAGGACCTTTATATCAGGTACGGAAATAAATAATACATGTTTGAACCCCATTTTAAACCGGTCAGAATTTTGCTATACCGTCTTGCTGTAAGCTACAATATTGTTTCTTTCCCGAAAAATCTGCATTTTTAGAAATTTTTGTTGTATAATTGCTGTCGTGTCTAAAGGTCAAATGAGACGTGCAGCATATTAAATTAATACATTCAGTGTACTATAAAATAGCATTATATTAATACTGAGTTTTCTTGGAGTTAAGTTTTTTAGACCTAACATTTACCAAAATCTACCATAGACCTAACAATAATTAATCTAAAAATTACTCTAATAATTGGTTTAAAATACAATAAAACTTGATTACAAATTAATTCTAATTAATAATTGCGTCGATTTAATTACAAATACTAAAGAATTTGCTCTTCATTTTGTTAATTTGCTATGAATTTAACTTGCGTGTAAATAATATTGAACCACTTCCATAGGATAATACTTGGTAAATAATTACGGAACTGAGTGTATGTATTATATATGCCAAAGTGTGAAGTACAGTGTATGATAGGGTCAATGTAGTGCTTATAGCCATTGTGATCACTGATCAGTCTCTCTCTCTGTTTGTATGATTTTTTTGATGGCATTTATGTCTCAGACAATCATTGGTAGAGTTCGTGAACCAAACGCC